TCTTACTGGAGTGAGATGATATCTCATGGTTGTCTTGATTTGCATCTCTCTCAGGGCTAGGGATTTTGAACATTTCTTCATGTGCTTGTTGGCCATCTGATTGCATTTTTATGCTTTTTGGTTATTTCCAGTACTATGCTACCTTTACCCTCTCTGTTTTGTGATGATTTTTTAAGTTCTTTATCTATACTATCAATTCTGTCTTCCATTTTTTACATTTTCTTCTGTAGCTGATCAAATTCTTCCTCATCAATATATATCTTCTAGATTTTTGTTTCTATTGTATTTACTCTCTTTAATGACTTCCATTGTTTCTTCCATGATTTGCATCTTCTTCTGTAGGTCTTCAAATAACTCCAGATCAACATGTTTCTTCTAGTTCTCTCTATCTGGTGTATTCATTGGCTCTTATCTTTTTAGGAGGAGAGTTATTTGTTTTTTTATGATGACTGAGGCAAACTGCTGCTTTCTTGTTATTATGTGAATCTTTTCTTAGTAGATAGGTTATTGTAACTATATAGTGACCCAGAGTATGACAATGTTTTGTTAAGGCCCTACGTATTTGTGCTCCCTTCTTGGCCTGAGACCTACAAAGCCAAAGGCTCAACAACAGCATTTCACCCAAAGTACCTGATTGGCAGTTCCCTTTCAGAAACCTCATCTTGGCCCAGTTCAGCCTGGCCTAGCACCTTCCACTTGGTCTTAAGGGATCCCATGTAGTGTAGCTAGACAGGAGTGTTTCACCCAAAGTACCTTTGGTATTGGTTCTCCTGGCACTGGATAGTGGGGGCAGGAGCTTAGAGGTCTCCAGGCCATCTGGCAGTGGGATCTCCAGATGGTGGGGGCAGCAGTCTAGTACTTTGGGCCACAATGAAACTAGGTACCTCAGCCTGGCAGTCAGTGGTGTGGTCACCATCGAGGGTGTGAATGTGCCTGGGCTGAGCTGCAGTTTTTAGCAGATGCTGGGCAAGTAGTGGCCAGGAGATGCTCCAGGGCACAGCAGGGGAGTGATGGTAACGTCCCCAAGCAAGTATGTCTCATGAGAAATATGAATTGACTTTTAATTGGGTGCGAGTACTTTGAATACATTTACAAGTTTGAGTTGAATGATTGTATTGTTTAGATTTTGTGCATCTCTGCTAAATTTCCTTTGAGTTGGCCTATCCTTTGGTGAGAGTGGTGTGTGAAAGTCGCCTACCACTACTGTACCGCTATCTATTTTTTCCCTGACTTTTGTTAGCCTTTGTTTTATATATTTTGTAGGACTATCATTTGGTACATAGATGTTGACCAGGGTTATATCTTTCTGATATACTGTGCCTTTAATTATTATATAGTGCCCTTCCTTATCTTTTTCGTGATTTTCATCCTAAAGTCTATTTTACCAGAAATTATTAATACCTATCCTGCCTTTTTTTGGTGAATGCCAATTGTTTGGTATGTTTTCCCCCAGTCTTTGATTTTGAGTCTATCTTTTTCTTCATTTCTTAGATGTGTCTCTTGCAGACAACATAATTATGAATTTGGGGCTTGTTTTGTTTTTAATTCATTTTATTTCTCTTTTTTCTCTTAATTAGTGCATGTAATCCAGTCACATTAATTGTGATTATTGACAGACCACGTTTTGCCATTGTCATTTTGCTGTGTTTCTTTTTCTGTTATTTCTGTTTACTATGGTCCATTTATTTTCTTTTTGTGTCTCTGTGTGAAAGACTTCTTTTAAATGTTCCTAAATTCCTAAAGAGCCTTCTTTTCTTCTAAGTACTTAATTTCTCCTTCATATTTAATAGTGGGCTTTGTTGAGTTAAGATCTTCAGTTGGGAAAATGAGAACTGAGGCACAAAGGGAGATTTGTTAACCAATGTTCATAGCAGCATTATTCACCATCCCAAGAACATGGAAACAGCCCAAATGTCCAACCACAAATGAATGGATTGAGAAATTATGGTACATTCACACAGTGGAATACTATGCAGCAAGCAGGAGTAATGATTTTATAAATTATTACCTAACTTGGGAGGGAATGGAGAGCATTATGCGGAGTAAACTAACTCAGTCCCACAAGGATAAATATTGTACAAAACTATTATTGTAGAATGAGTATAAGGATCCAAGAGGGGTGGGAGAGGTTGGAAGTAGAGGAATGAGGATGTGGAGGAAAAGGGGTGATTAATCATAGGGTTGTACAATTTGATGGATGGGGAGGTGAGGGAAATGGAAAGACTTTGTACTTGAAAACAAATGTATTCAAATTTTGTAAATAAATGAGCTGAAAATGTAAAAGTAAAAAAGGATCTTCAGTTGACAATTGTGTTCTTTCAAATTTCTGTGTATGTTCTCCCATAGTCTTCTTGCTTGTATTATTTCTTCTGGGAAATCAGAACTTGATCTAATTGTTTCTCCTTTAGAGATGGCTATTTGTTTTTCTCGTCCTGCTTTTAACTCTCTGTCTTTATCTTTTATTTTGGAGAATTTGACTCTGATATTTCTTGATGTTTTCCTTTTGAGGTCTAGTCTGGTAGATGTTTGCTGAGCTTCTTGAATGTAAATATCTCCGTTCTTCACAATATCTGGGACGTTTCCTTCTAGCGCCTCTTCCACAATTTTCTTTGTGATTTCCCTCTTCCTCTCATATTGTGGAATGTCGATCATATGTATGTTGTTCCTTTTGATGTCATCTCACATGTTTCTAATGTTTTCTTTATTTTCTTTACATCTCATCTCTGATTTTTCTCCTAGTATGTTTTCATTCAGACTCTCTACTCCATCTCTCCTGTTCCAGATTTTTGGATATGTCTGCCAATTTTTGTCTGATTGTTCAGGATTGCATTTTCATGCATTTCTGTTATTTCCAGTACTATGTTTGCTGTAGTCTCTCTGTCTTTTGATGACTTTTAAAGCTCTTGTACTTTTTTATTTATAGTTTCAATTTTTCTTCCACCTGTTGCATTTTCTTCCACAGTTGTCCAAGTTCTGCCTCAATGATATATTTCTTCAGACTATCTCCAGAGTATTCACTTTCTTAACAGTTTCTATTGTTTCTTCCATCATTTGCACCTTCCAACTCACTACTGATGATCCTACCAGAACTCCCCAAAACCTCTTCCGAAGAGAACCACAAGAATTTGGCTAATAATTGTCATGTAACCTTAGCCAGGCAATCATTATAAGTTGTGAGTGGAGTGAAATGTTTTTAAGTAAGAGAGAAAAGGTACTGGGAACAGAAAAAAGAAGCCTACTGTATCTTACCTGCCTGGTTCCAATAAACTCTTCCCAGTTCTCCCATCAAACCCCATTGGGCCATAATTCCATTTAATTTCTTGGGCTTCAATGAAGTATCGTCGGACTTTTCCTGTGAGGTGGTGCACAGGAGGGGCCTTGGAACAAGGCTTGACATTGTAGAGTGCTTGCATACCGCCTGGAGGAAAAATATTGTGGCTGATATTATTCCATTCTACGTTTCTACTCAAATAACCCACCTTCCTCTTTTATCTAGTGTGTCTCTCTCTCATGCTCCACTAGACTCTACTCCTGTCCAATCACAGACTAGATTATCTTGATCAAGAACCTTAAGGGGATAGAAGAAATTCAAGTTAGAATGCAAGTACCTCCATGTGCTCATATGATACTGGCTCATTTACGAGATCCTTATGTCATAGTTTGTTTTGAAGTAACGTTAAAGATACACCATTAAACAATCAGTGAGTAAAAGAAAAAAATTATGAAGGGAATTAGAATATTCTAATTCACAAAAACAAATACAAACACACCAAATAAAACCTTATAAGATGTTAAAATATCAACCCAAAATAATAGAATAATACCTGAACCCTCCTAAAATACACTTTAGAAAACAAGTGAAACAGAGATGGAGGACAATTCTGGAATTTACAGCTTCAAAGGAAAGAATAAAGTTGTAGCGGAAATACTGGTTACAGAAAGAAATTGAACTTCAAATGTGAACAAGGAGACATAGGGAATGGTGAAATACCAATTGACCTGAAATAATTAATAATTTCAAATTGTTATGTCTTTCCAACTATGGCAGAAATCAAGTAACCAACTTCATTTACTTAGGTTGACATTGGTACACTGGTGATATAAAGCCTGAAATAGGCTCCCCTAATTCCCCCTACCCAGTTGTAAGTCAAACTTTCAACTACTGTCTGTGCTATACAACTTTTTCCCCCTACCTCCCCTTCTTCTTAGTTCTTTCTTGTCTCTCCTATTTTCCCTTATACTTGCATTTTTTTTCTTAATATTTTGGAGAGGATGCTATTCCCCTACTGTTTTCATCTTCATTAGTGTTCCCTCCTTCCCCTCTGTAATTGGCACTGTGTGTGCACTGCTGCAGAGATAATGCTACTTTTGTTGGTTAATTTTTACAATAGGACACAGTACTATTTATTTACTTTTAACACTTTGCTTCTTAGTTCTTCGTCTTTCTACTTGCTGGCTTTGATTTTTCTTAATCTTGCAGAGCAGGTACTCACACACTCCAGTCCCCTTTGTGTTCACCAGTCTGAACATGCTTTGTTTTTTTCTGCAGCATTGGTGACTTGTGCTTACAGCAGCACTGTACTACTTTAAATATAAATTCTCTCCCCCCTCCATTTTCTCCTTAGATTTTCTCTTTTCTTTCCTTATTTTCTTTCTTGATCTTCTTTTCTTCCCCCACTCCCCTTTTGAGATTCCATGGTGTAAATTCCCCTCATTACATCTGTAGTCACCAGCATTTGCCTTTTCTTTCTCTAAGGGTAATGTGACTCAGGGTCGCTATGAGTCGCAGGCGACTCGACGGCACATAACAACAACAACAACAACAAGGGTAATGTTGTGTGGCCCCACAGGGAAAGTTTCTGAGACTTTCTATACTCATCAGAGCCATCCTCTACCTCTCTGAAGTTAATGATGAATACTCTGATAAGTTGAGTGCCATGTTTTTTATGAAGTTGATCTTGCTTGGCAGCTAGCACATGTGTCTATCCTATGTTTGCACTTTCTCTTTTTCTCTTTATTCTTATTTTTCCCTTATTCTTCCCTTTTGTTTTCCCCTTTCATCTCTTTTCCCCCTCTCTTTCCTTTCAACTCTTTTCCCCCTTATGAATAAGTGCAACAACCCTACCCCTAACACCTGCTTCTCCACTGGATAGATGTGTGCCACCAAGCACCACTCCAGTACCAACTGACTGATTACAGTTGACAACTCACCTGGGCTGCCATCAGAAGCTCTATATGACAGGCAATTAGAAGGTCACACTTGCCACACTCTCATCCTTTAACAAGTATACCCATAAACAAGCGATGAGTACCCAAGTGTTGTCTAACTAACCAGAGTAACATGTCGGTCCAATTTTTTTCGGTATATTAGAACAAATATCAGGATGAATCAAATCAATGCAAACACTAATAATACCGCAATGTTGATGACTCAAGATAGCTTAGTAGTCAGATATTAGATCTGTAAGACCCTTCACAACAAACACCCAAGAAATCAAGTGAAATAAATACAGATGACAAAACAGATTAAAAAAATAGCAAACTTGAGACATCACTGTGTAAATGAAAACAACTATGAAGCAAAAAGAGAAAATAAATAAGGCTTTCATATTGAGAAATTGTTGTTGTTGTTGTATGCCATCAAGTCAGAACTGACCCATAGCGGACTCTCAGGTAGGTTGTCTGACACACTAACTCACATCAGAAGAGATTGTTAATCTTTCTCTCATGAAAAAACTGATCAATTCAAACCGCATGCCTTAGGGATTGCAGCGTAGCCACCAGATTTCCCTATATTGAGAAGTAGTCAAGACAATATCAAAATTGAATGGAATGTTTTAAACTTGAGTAGATAATAATAAACTCATGGTAACTTTAAAAATATTAATAAATTTTTAACCAAGATATTATGAAAGAACAAAATTATAAATACTTAGTAAACATTAACACAACAGTAATAATTACTCACTTGATACTACAATTAATATTAGTCAAAAGATTGAGAAGTAGTGATAAAAGACATAAGAAAATCCATAAACAAAATGAACTTAATGTAGAAAAACATAGAAAATTGTCGTTATATACCATCAAATCCGAATTTACTCATTGACCCTCAAGATGTTTTTCAGTGGCAGTAAATTACACAAGAAGAGATTACATATCATTCTCCAGCAGAGAAGCTGGTGGATTGGCATTGTAACTCCATACCACTAAACTCCAGATAGATCATTGAGATCATAAACATCAAAATAATAAACTAAAAGTGAAAAAAGCAAATACGAACAACATATCCCTGCTCCTTGGAGGTAAGTATTCTGCACCACGTCCCCGAGACACCACTCCACCACCATCCCTCGACCCTGCACCCCCGGCATGCCCTGGTAGACATGCCACAGCCCTGCACCCCTGGCAGTTCCCCAGGGCTACTAGAGAGTCCTTCATGCAGCACAGAGACCTACCAACAGCCATGGACAGTAGGATTTTGAATCAGAACACAAAGGCACACTACGGATCCAGCCATTGTCTGAAGCCACCAATCGAGCAGCTGTGGGACTGATCGGCCATGAGAAAGGCCAGTATGATCCTAATTGGGTTTTCTTGGGCAACACCGATTGCCTGGGAGATACCCAAGGGTGAGCCCACTGATGGGAATTTGTCTGAGTTCTCTTGGGCCACACCAACTGCCCAGGAACGAGTGGTCCAGTGGTAAATTATCTGAACCTCTGTGGACACTGCAGACCAGCCAGAGGAGAATGAGTTGGTGGGAATTTGACTTGTCTTATTGTGTCCTATTGGACTCAGTACCCTGCTTGGGCAGGGGTCACTGCACAAGGGCACGTGCATGAGTGCCACTGCACAGGGACTACTGAGTGAAAACCACTGGGTGGAGATGGACAACTGGAATTTGAATTGGGACCCCAATCATAAGCACAGCCAGACAGCTGAGGTCTGAGTAAGGTCCCCCAAGTGGTTGACCTGCCCTTGTGATCGCCCCACCCCCATGAATGCCCCACCCCATTTGGCTCCACAAGTGTGCCTACACGTCTGGTTAAACAACTTGCCTTTAATCCGGACCACCTTGACCTGTTTAACCTACAAGAGGCTGCTCTCACAGTCTCTGAACCGACATTTCCCTGGAGTCAGAAGTTCACAGAAAAACACAAGTGGAGTAGCAACCCAACTGATCTCTAGCATATGGTCTTCAGATCAAGAACATATCAATGTTTCAAAGAAAGCAAGCTGCCCCACACTATACATATGCACAAAGCAAGATGTCACCCCCAAAGAGTGACAAAGTATCAATGGATTTCCTGAAGGAAGAAAGTCTGATGGAACTTTCTGACACAGAATTTAAAAGAACAATGACTGGATCTTTTCAATGGATGAAAGACAAATTTGAAGAATGACAGGGTGCTACAAACAAAAACCAGGAGGAGCTCAAAAAAAACAGTCCAGAACAATGTAGAGAAAACACATGAGGAATTAGCAGCAGTGAAAAAGCAAAAAACCACGATCCAAAATATGAGGTACAATGTTTCAGATGCTGTCAACATGGTGTAGGGACACATGAGCAGATTTGAAGAGATGGAAAACAGAAACAGAGAAAGAGAATACAGAATTGTCGCCACTGATCTGCCACAGCAAAAAACAGACTCAAAAAGGAAGGAAAAAGAAGAAAACCTAATAATAATGTGGGACACCATCAAGAGAAATAACATGTGCATCATTGGAATCCCAGAAGAGGAAGAAGCAAGTAAAGGCACTGAAAACGTTGTGGAAGAATTACTAGAGGAAAACTTCCCAGCCATAATGAAGAATAAGAGAATATTTATTCAAGAAGCTCAGCGAACACCATATGGACGAGAACCCAAAAGAATAAAAACATCAAGGCATATTATAGTTAAATTTGCCAGAACTAAGGATAAGGAGAGAATCCTGAAAGCAGCAAGGGAGAAACAGAGAGTAACTTATAAGGGAGAGCAGATAAGATTAAGTGCCGTTTTCTCAGCAAAAACCCATGAAAGAAATAGACAGTGGAAGGGAATACATCAAGCACTCAAAGAACACAACTGTCAATGAAGAATACCATTGTCATTGTTGTTATGTGTCGTCGAGTCATTTGCAACTCATAGCGACCCTATGTACAACAGCCCTAAACCCTGCTCTATCCTGTGCCAATCGCATTGCCTCTGACACACC